AAAAAAAAAAAAAGTGCTGGGGTATATTTATTAGGCTACTAAACAACTTACCCACACTTTAAGAATGTTCCAGTTTTACTCCTTTCAGAACTATTAAAGCCGCCAGGAGAAACCAGTTCCAGGTATTCTTTAAAAGACTGTGGCAAGCATTCCATTGAGAAAAGTGAGAAAACAGAATTTTCCCTCAACACTGGAGCAGACCAAGCTGTGCGGTCGGTGAGAGCCTGTGAGCTCTTACACAGGGCTCACCAACACAACCCAAGATGCTCTCGGTGCAATGAAGCCAAACAAAGCTACCACAATCTCCTGACTCTAGGTTAAGTACTTGAGAGCAAAGCTGATGGTCTTTACTATCCCCCCCCGGCCCCACCCCGAGCAATCATTGTACAAATCAAGGACTGCCACTGGGTGACAATCTCTCCCAGGGTCCCACTGCTAACTCTCCCACCCACTGTGCTGGCAGAGGCAGCCTGGGAGGGGCGTCAGTATTGATCTGGTGGATCCTGGCCACATAAAGCCTCTGCTCACTGCACATTCAAGCAAAACTAAGAAGAAAAGTATTCTTCCCTTGCTACATGTATTTTGCTTTATCATTTGAAATCAGCTAGAATAAGTCTCAGACTTTTCTGAGAATCTAAACAGGACTGCTGGTACGGTGAAACACAAAATACAGCTTAACCACAGCCAAGGAGAGCCTTTAAACACCAGCAAACTCTCCCCACCGCACTACAATAGCAAGCATGATGTAAGACACTAGGTACACTTTCACAAGTGCTTACTACACCCATTAGAATGAGATAGATCAGGAACCACTCACCATGGACTATATTTGGTTTTAGTAACTATATTGCTCCCTTGGGAGTCACAGACAGCAGCTCCCACTGTTAGGCAATCTCCACAGTATAACAGGGGGGCTGCCCACCCCAAACTAGGGCTCTACCCACACTTCAGCGGTTGGTGAAATCAGGGGAGGTGCTGGCGGGGGAAGGAAAGCCTCAGTGAGAGTTGGTCCCCACATGAACACCAGCGTGCCCTCGGCAGCAGGGTGCAAAGCTGACCAGTGTGCAGTGTTTCCATGTTCTCAGTCTGATCCTGCTACAAAGTCGTATCAGGTACCTTGTGGAGCTGGCTTGGGGTATCAACCTCTCCAGGAGGCATTGTGAGCTTGACAACACGGTCACACATTTGCAAAGTGCACAGAGCTCAAGGCACAGTGTAGAAAAAAGCTGTGAATCAACGGGGAAAGGTTGCAGTGAAAGCAGGGTTGGAGTTTCTTAAACAAGACTTTCTAATGCTAAACAATTATTTTAAAACAGGTTGAGCATGGATTTTGAAAACACTGTATTGCAACACCTGCTTGGTATTAAAGCAAAGATCTCTTGACACGTAAAACCAATACACTGAAGTGCTAAGTTCACAAACGTACACAACAAGTGCTTTTAAAAAAGAAAAGAGGAAAAAAAGATTCTTCCGTTCTTGTACTTTTGGAGGAAGCTGCTGATTTTGGCTGTTGGACTTCGCTTAGCACGGCCACTTTCCAAGGTGCTTACCCCTCACACAATCTGTGGATAAACTCACTAAAAGACTGTCCCATTTCAAAATCACCCCCAAGTCTAGCAGCAACTGTTTTTGTCTCTGAAAATTAAAAATCAAAAGGAAGAAGTCCGGCACCCTCTCCAAGAACAGCCTTGCAACAGAGCTCCTGAGTGGTCAGGCCCCACTGTAGCCTGAACAGTTTTCTGCAGCTCCAGTGTGTGCTCCCTCCGGGAGAAGAGTCCATTCAGCAGTCACTATCTGTACCCCCTGGAACTTGCACATGCGGACGAGCTGTCTGAAATAAAGAGCAGAAGGAAAAGCACTGAGGGGCAGCTAGCACTGAACAAGAGCAGAACTCTGTCCATACAACTTATACTTCTCAACCCTCCCCACCCAAGTCTCTAAAAGTTCCACAGTTCTCAGAGAACCAGAAAGAAGCCAAGATCACCAGGAACTGACGTTGGAGTACTACCCCATCCTTGTGGATAATAAAGAATCTCGTGGTCTCCTGGCACCCAACTGAAAACTAACACCACCAACCAGCCTTCAGCATTGTCACAGCTACAGTCAGGCTGACCTGCCCCACACAGGCCACGATGTGCCACCTAGATCACAATCCACATCACACACTACCACGCTTATCGCCAGCAGCCACCTCACATCACGAGACCATCAAAGGCAAGAACATGGTTACTTACTGTATGCCAACTCATCCCCTGCTCTCTTCCGGGACTGGTCACCTCTAGGGATAAGAAAAGTGGAAGAGGCAGTCAACAAAACCCAGTGACTTCACACAAGACAGCAGAAATGAACCAATGTAAATGATGGTAGAAAGAGCACACACTTCAGCTCTAAGCCAACAGTCAGTTTTAAACAGACAAACATAGGCTGAGTCATCTTCAGCCTGGCTGTTCTTAGCTAAAGGGTGTAGTTAAATCTAGGAAGTTCTTAAATGAAGATGAAGACCTAAGGAGGGCTTACACTGAGTTCTAGAAACACAATTCTAGTGTCTGCACACTAACGTATGTCTGTGAAGACAACCCAGGTCTTGCTACCTCCATCACAGGAACCTACACACACTTCAAACATGGATAGAGGGGTTAAAAATCCCCTCAAAGCTCCAAACCAAAACTCTCAAGCCTTTGGAGTCAGAACCTTAACTTGCTTTAAGACCCTTTTGTGGGAAGAACACAAATCTTTACATATATCACCCAGCTTTTCCTCAAGTGCCCAGATAAGTCCCAGATCTGTGTTGCAGCTAAGAAAATAGTGGTTGTGAACAGCCCTATGCCTCCCATGAATCCAACTCTCATCTTTCTGGCTTCCCAGACACTAATCCAGGCTCCAGTGCTTGAGTAGTAAGCAATAATCTCAATCCCCCACCCCCACACCCGCACTTCTCCTCAGTCTCTGGTGCTGATGCAGCTCCTCTCATCTCTCCCTTTTTCTTGCTGGTCTTTGTTGGCTCTGCCGAGCACTGCCAGGAGCCACCCTTTCTTCTCCATACGCATTCTTCACTCTTCTAAAATGGGACCACTACCAGATTTACAGGCAACTCTGATTTCTGTGAGTCCAAGAATGTAGGTCCAGTGTCTTCATCACCATGGCGAACACTGAAAACTGACCATGTCCAGAATACAATGCAGACTCCCCTCCACTTACTCTTTCCCCAGGCTTCCACTTAAATAAATGGCACCACCACCCACCCAGTTACTCAAGCTAAAATCCTAGGTTGTCCATGATCCCTCTCTCAACGTCACCCTGTTCCACACACAACACCAAGTGAACAACTATCAACTACACAGCTACTGTCTCTATACAAGCTGCCACTGTACCCTCTCTCCTTCCCAAGAGCAGGCCCCTTATTATTTGCCTAGACAAGAGCCAGAGCTTAAGTAAAAAGGTATAAATAAGAATAGTTCATGCTTCTAATTAAAACCCCTCACACCTTTCCATTACAGTTCAAAATCAATCTCAAGTCATTTCCCAGCCCAGTGTCATGGCTCTAGTCTGTCTCTCTCACCTCTTTTCTAGCCCCTGCCTCGGTTCACTGTCCTTCAGCAACCTGAGCTCTCTGGTCCTCTGGGCATTTTCTTTTTTTTCCTACTTGTCATTCTCTCCCCCAGGCAATCACACTGGTCCTCCAGTCTGGTCCTCCTCTGATGTCTCCTTGGAGAGGCAGGATCACGCCACCGTATCACCAGGAATAGCTCCTCACACTCCATTCTCTAGTTCTCTCCACCGCACTTAGTTTTATGCATGTATTTTTGCAAGGTTATTATTTGTTTGCCAACATTACAGCGTAAGTACCATGAAAGTAGGAACTCTGCCTGTCATTCCACCCTGGGGCCCAACAGTGTGTAGCACATACCAGACACTTAAAAAACTATCTGTTGCATTAACAAATGGGTACGCAACTCAGAGTCTCAAAGATGATGACTAAAATGCTTACTTGAGTAGCCTACACTTCAATTAATCAAACAATAAAGCAGTACCTGACTCTTATGTCAATGTTGATTTTGAAATATGGGGAGATTTTTGAGTAATTTTATAGTTTTTCAATGTTTACCCCTTCTTTTAGTTTGCTTCCAACCAAGGCAAACATTCTTACTGGGCTGATAAGACAAGGAGCCTTGATGGCTAGCAAAGAGGCCATGCCACAGAACTAGAGGGGTGGGCTTCTTCATGCTGAATACCTGGAGAAGCTCCACACAGCATTCCCATGAACAGTCCTCACAGCCTAAAGAACTGTGAACATACCCAACTTTGCACCTCTATAGTGAGTTCTACCAAAACCAGTCAGTGACTTACATGGGTATTTACACTAGTATTATTACAGTACATGTGCCAAATATTGTGAAGCAGTTAAGCCAATCCTTCACACCTGGAACCTCAAGTTCTTATACACTGCATCCAACCCTGCCCCTCAATGGTTAACTAAAAAACACAACAGGTACAAGTAATTGGTGCAAGTCAGATGTAGAAACAGCGGACAGGAAGAATGGAACTGTGAGATGTGCCAGAGATCTCTGAAGCTGCTAGCTCTGAGCCTGCTAGCACTAAGCCAGATCTCTGCCACGAAACAAATTAAGTCCAAATTCAGAAGAAACCTTCTCAGCTAAAAGACCAGCAGTATCTCTACAAGGTTCCTTTGTATTCCAGAAATCTAGGCTACCCTTTTTTCCAAAGGAACATTTGTCTTTGCAAAATGAGTAGAATACTCTTTGGAGGGGCCCTGGGCTGGTCTGAATGGGACAGTCCAGGTGAGGGCCTGTGTTTTCTAAGTTCCCAAACAAGCTCATCTCCACAATGTGACTTCTAACAGCAGCCACCATCTGCCCCTCTCCAATCAATTCAATTACTCTCAAGAGAGAAAGAAAATGTTCCTTTGAACTTACACGTTAATTCTAGCTTTGAAATAAGTTTCCACTGTATTTCCATGCAGCAAAAGATTTTGCTTCACATAAACTAGCTCACCTGAAGATGTGCCCACCATCTAGAGCAGGGCATATTGGACGACACTCACATATTACCTAGAAATAGTTCAAAGACTTCCTCACATGAAAGCTGTGTGTTGCCTATTCAGGAACCCAATCACGTAAGTGGAACATCATATTAAATGAAGCAACAGCTTGTAATACTGAACAGGAATCACATGATTGGTTAGGCAAAACCCACAAATGACTGCTCATGTCTAAATAGGCAGTAAAAGACCCCAACCAAAAGCCCGTGTTATATTTAAGGTTTTGGGGGTTATTTTCCCCTTTGACATCAGTGGACACCATTTCCTCCAAAACAATCCTAGCCAGATAATGACCAAAGAAAACACAAGTGTGACAGGGCAACAGTGGGCAGTCCACAAGGCAAGCAGGTAGGCTTTCCACAGTGGCTGAGAAGAGCAGTCCTTGCTGACAGGTGTTGACTGAACCTAAAAGTGGGTCTAAGAATGTCAGCTTTGGCAGAGCCTACTCTGTACAAAGTACCTGTCAGGATAATTTATGAAGCAGTTTAATCCTCATAGTAAATGTATAACAGAGTGTTAGTTCTAAAAATGGCTCAATTAAGTTTGTGAAGCAATACATTTCAATTTCACTACCTCTTGGAATACTGCTTAGTGTTTAAAATTCAGCCAGAAGCTATACTAAAGAATTCCCTCATGAGAAACAAAAGTCCCAGTCTACACCAAGGCCGCTCAGCCATGGCTGCAGAGCAGCACAACAGTGACTGTGGGGTCAGTTATTAATCTTATCCCGAGCAACTCTGACGTAAGAACTACACACCCAGCAACTCTACATCCCGTTCTTTTGTTCCAGTTCCCAAACCAGGATGAGGAAATGTCTCTGGATGTTTTAAGAGTTTCAGAACCCATTCTAAAAGGTAAACTCAGAGTGTATGGACACATCCACAAGAACAGTGTTCCTATACCACACCACGAAAATATAAGTTTTCAGAAGGCTGACTTAAAAGCAAATATCCAAAACACAAGTAAATTTATAAAAGAAAAAAAAAAAACTTAAAAGTCAAGGTAATCCTAGGGGGCAGAAATCGCCAAGTACATGCAATTACTTCGTATTTATTTAAAAGTAGCTACGATAAAACTTATAGTTCAAACTACAGAAACCACAAAAAAAATCTTGAAAACCTAACATAGTTACAGAAAACTATGACACCACTTTTACGTGACTTAAAGGGAAACAAAACGGATTCTGAACAAAACCAAAGGGGGTCAAATTGAGGAATGTCATTTTGGATGAAGCATCAAGTTTTTTTTTTTTTAATTTTTAATTTTTATTTTTATGTATCCTCTGCATGTGTATAGGTATATCATGTGGGTGCAATGCCCAAAGAGGCCAGAAGAGGGTGTCAGAATCTCTGGAACTGGAGTTAAAATGGTTGTTAGCCACCTTATAGGTGCTGGGAACTGAGCCCTGGTCCTCTGCAAGGGCAAACAGTATTCTTAACTGCTGACAATTTCTTCACTATACAAAGACCTCATAGAAATAAAAGGAAAAAAAGACAAAGAAAAAATGAGCAAAAGACACAAACAGGCAGTTTGCAATAAAACAAATGCAAACACATGCTCAGGTGTCCTCATGAGAAGAGAAATGCAGGCTAAACTTATCCTGAGTTCTTTTACACTATTAGAAAAGTGCAGTTACTTATACATATAGCACACATATGGCCATCAAGAATAAACACTTTCAAGCTCTGCTATGGGTATGTAAAATGGTAATTTGGCAGTATTCATCAAATTTCCAACTGTATCTACCCTTGACCCAGCATCCCACTCTTGAGGATTTTCCCCCTAGATATACATGCATCAAGCACAAAATAATTCAAGTGGCCATCTACCAGGAACAAGGTAAATAAGTCATACTAGTCTAATATAGTCTAATCTAACCAGAGTGTAATGTGGGGGGAAAAAAAAGAATACAAATAAGGGACTATTTTGTTTGCCTATATATTTAAAAACAACACAAAAACCCAAAACAATAGAAAGAATCACAAGAAACTAATAATGGTGTTACTTAAAGGGTTGGGGTAGAGAGGGAGACAAGTGGGAATAAAAATTGTGGGTTTTTTTTTTTTTCATTTTAAAATTAATATGGGCCAGGCATGGTGGCCCACACCTTTAATCATAGCACCTGAGAGGCAGAGCCAGGCTGATCTCTGGAGTTCAAAGCCAGTCTGATCTACACAGAGAGTTCTAAATCAGTCAGGACTCTGGAGTTCAAAGCCAGTCTGATCTACACAGAGAGTTCTAAATCAGTCAGGACTGCATAGTGAGATCCTGTGGCAAATAAATAAATAAAATTAATACAGGAGGGAGGGGCTCCCAAAGCCCTAGCTGAGGAGTTATTGTCTGCTGATGGCTGCTGGGGCAAGGGGGGTTACTTTCCTTTGGGGGGATGGTTACTTGCAGGCTACCCATGTCCTAGTGGATGTCCCTACACCCACACTCACTGGCAGAAATAAATGGACTCCATGGGTTATTTAAGGGGGAGGGGCACGAAGTTAGAAGGGTATGGTATGTTGAGGGGTATGGGGGAGCTGGAGGGGGGGAGTGGGTATGGATATGATTAAGATGCATTATATGAATCTATGCAATTTTCAACAAAAAAAAATTAATGTCATCAAATGGCTTAATTCTACGCACAAGACACTGTAACTAATATTGGAAAACACATGACCCCTTGGCCTCAAGGAGAAAAGCCATCTACTTACCCCCAGCATTTCCACTGGCCCTATCTTCTTTCAGCCACAGGAGACAAACCTACCCTCCCATCCACACAGCTCCTCCACACTGAAATCTCCAATGTAAGCTCCCAGGAAGAGAAGTAAATGGCCAGTGGACTTCTCACTGTCCCTAATACCTCATAACTGCAGATGCCACCAAGACAAAATGACCATGAATGCCAACCTATGGACTGACAAACAACAAGAAGTTCCCTTTCTTCCTTAACCTGTGCTGAAGCAGACATAGTAAGTAATCCTGGTCAAGACTAGTTTTTATCTGAAATGCAATTTGGTCTTGGAACTTTTTAAGAGAAATGTCCATCCTCAGCCCCATCAAATAAGTGAGCCAATATTCAACTAACTACTTGAGTCTTCTTTTCATAACTTTCCTGAAGGCCAGGAGCCAAATACCAGGAAAACAGGTGAAAAAACTAAGTGAAAAGATTGTGGAACTATAAGGTATTATTGCACCCTTAAATGAAGTGCTGACATAACTAGGTGCTTTTCCCACAGGAAAACCAAGAGTTCTAAATGAAAAAAGAAGAGTTTTCCAGGGTATGGTCATGATACGAAATAGTAAACATTTTAGAAAACTAAAAAGCAGGGGAGGGAAACTTTTGGAAGTATATAAAGATTTAGACAAAACATGCATTATAATATTGATCACCAAATTTCTACAATGTTTTTTCACACATCAGGACTCATGCAAAGCTGGAAGGGCCTTGTAGGCTGCCCCACCTAACTGCCCAGCAGGAGAAATCCCTTCAAAACGTGCGTGGTGATGAGATGCTTCCCCCATCCCAGCATCTCCACCTCCTCTGAAGACAAGGAACCTTCCAACAGCATGGCTGGCTTCTAGTGAGTTTTCCTCCCAAGAGCCTAGCAACCTTCCCATGCTGGATGGACACCTAGGAAAACAGGCACCTAATGTCACTTAAAAAAAAAAAAACAAAAAAAAAAACAACCAACTTGCCTTGTAAAACCATTCTGTATAAGTTCCCTTTGAAGCTTCTGATCTTGAGCAGCATATTCAGAAAGTTCAGATTCCACAGCCGGAGGGAGAATGTTTGGGATAAATTTAGAAAACAGAGTTGGAGCCATCTGAACCCATTCTGTGAGGGAAAACAAATGGTTCAATAAAGAAATAAGCTAGTGGACAGGCAAATTTTCTTTTGTTTAAACAACAAATATATTAATATTTATATTAATATCAATATACAATATATAAATCAAATAGGAAAACCTAATGCAACCTTATACCTATTTTGGTAAAGAACAAACAAAACATTCTATTTTCTTTATAAAAGTAACAGTATAAAGAAAGCAGACATTTTTACATCTTACTGAGTCAAGAGGATTTATGAAATCTCTATAATTTTTTGAATGGATCTTGTAAAAATCCTCTAAACATAGAGAAAAAACAGAAATGAAATTACCAAACAAATCTGAGTGGGAAGGGCCTTGGACAGAAGCAGTTTAGTGGAAATACCAGCGCTATGAGCCAGTTAAATACTACACTGGCCACAGGGTAATAACAAGCATACCCCCAAAAGGAAGTAATTCCAAAGGGAGGGAACAAACAACTGAAACTTTATTAAGTGGGTAGTGCTTTGGAAATAAAAAGTCTTTTTAATCCGTGTTAAAATTTCATCGTGTGTGTGTGTGTGTGTGTGTGTGTGTGTGTGTGTGTGTGTGAATTAGCAAAGAGAATTCAGTGGTTATAAAGAAAAAAACCAAGAAAATAAAGTCGCAGAAAAATATTTCCAACAGACACGACAAAAATGCCTATCTTTATTAGTGTTTGCACAAATCAGTAAAACCAGAAAGACACGTGACAGACAGCTAAAGCAAGCTAAAACAAGTGGACACTCTGCATCCACTTGGAGACTGCTCGGCTACACAGTATTGGCCAGCAGTCCTCAGGGAGCACTGCTTGCTCTCTTCAACTATTTTAGTTTAGCTTGAAAACCATAAAAATGTTGATGCTCTTTCAAGTCAATAAACCCACTTAAGTAACTCACTCTGAAAGACCACATTTGATGTTGTACGAGGGGAGGGGAGGGGAGG